AATAGGGTAATATAAGACAAAAAGAACCATCGTGAATGATTCATTCAGATAATAGTCCAAAGTAGTGTAATATCTCTATTGATACCGAGTCTGCTTCCTCATCTCTATAGGCTCTTCTTTTGTTTCTCAGTTTCAGGACCATGATTTTTAGCTGCTTCTGCCATCTCTGTTTAACATTTCTCATACTAAGAGTGACAGCTTCATCTTGGAGATGAGGCACCATGTGGTCAGGTTACCAGTGAAATAATAATGAATCTTTAGTATTCTGAAGTATTCAAAAGCACACTGAACTAGGAGAACTTTTAACTACCATCAGTTTGACAGGTAAGCAAATTCAAATTTTTGAGTTTTTGAGCTATTCTACAGGCAACTAGGAGAAATCTCTGAATTAGTTGCCCTTATCCTTAAGGCAGATTTCAACTTCCATGACATAAATGGCATACACTGCTGCAAGTGTGGAACATGCTGAAGATAACTTTATGTTACAAGAACTCAGTGAGCCAACTGGGATAAGCAACTCCTGGATCTGTTGCTTGAGAGTAGAGAAGGCCTTGTTGGAAGGGTGATGCTAGATCATAGCAGTGGTTACGACATTCTTATTTTCAAAATTCTTGCTGTAATGAGAAAAAATGGCCATCAGAATTGCTACCTTTTATTTTAAGAGAGCAAACTTTAAGCTACTCGGGGAGCTAGTTAGCAGCATCCCCTGAGAATCTGCTCTAGAGGATTTAGTGGGGCTATGAGAACTGGTCACTGTAAAACCCACCTTTTAAAAGCCCAGGAGCAGGTGTTCCCATTGTGTTCCAAGTCAAGTAAGTGGGGCAGAAGACCAGCTTGTCTGAGCAGGGAACTGCTGGAACGTAGGCAGGAAGAAGAAATACGATCTCTGGAAATGTGGTCAGATTCACATTTTCAGATTCACAGATTACAGAGCTGCAGTTCACATCTTTAGGGAGAACACAAGGAAAACCAAAGCTCAACTTGAACTGACACTGCCCAGAGTGGAGCCAGACAACAAAAGAAGGCTATTTTAAGTATGTCAACAGCAAGAGCAAGTTAGTGGATTTTACAGCAGGACTCCTCTCAATTACATGCCAAAGGTCTTGGGAGTCTGGGGAGGTCCCCATTGGCAAGAAATCAGACAGTGTTTTCCTCATTTACAGAAAGAGCACAAGAGAAGACACTGGAATTACAGACCTGATAGCCTGGGAATCATTTTTAAAGCTGACTTTCATCCTTGCTAGTGTTCAGTGTGTTCAAACACTGATTACCCCATTAAAAGCAAGAGATACTTATGTTTCCTTCATTGCAAAAACTTCTGGAGTTGTTGCTTCCTCCAGAGAGAAACCATCTACATAGGAAAATGAGTCTGCTCTTTTATTCTGTCACAGAATGCATAATCAGTGCTGAAATTCATGTAACCGCTACAGAATACATAGACACCGACCTGAACAATATGATCATACTGAGACAGTATTTGAGGTTTTTATCTTCCATCGGTGCTTAATTTCCTTTGATTATGACCTGTCAATTCTCCTCAAGTGATTAAATTACTCGCTCTTCTTTTTATAGATCTTTTCATACTTGTGAAACTAAAAGAGTTCTCTGAACTGTAAAGCAGATATCTGCTCTACATGAGCCCTGGCAGGGAGATGTTTTGCTGCCAATTTGCACTCTGCTTGGTTAGAACTTTGTATCTCTCCTTTAGCAGGTTGGGAGGTAAGCATTTTGGTTTTTAAACAAAGAATAAACAAAAAGATGAATTTGCTCCAACTGCAGGAAAAAAGTGTCTTCCAGCAGAAGGCCCCTGGGAACTGAAAAAAAGATGACGTGTGCTTTGCATGGTGTGACAGCAGGAGCGGGGCGTTTGGCTGCAAAGAGAGGAGCATATGGCAGAAGAAGCGAAGGTAGTTGCTGAATGTCACATTCTCAGGTCACTGTTCGTGGGCATTTACAGGAGGAAAGCAGTGATTAAGAGATGGATGAAACCTATTCACTTTTCACTTCACACAACCTATTGACTTTTAAAAAGTCAATGGCAATAGTTCATTGCTTATAATGGAGAAAAGAGCCAGAACTGCTTCCCAGTGCATCTAGAAGCCAGTATCTCATGCTAATACAGAAATCAGAAAGGAAAGATAAGGGAAAAGAGGGAGTGGAAGGAAGTGGAAGAATGAAAAAGACAGATGTTTTTAATGTCCCTTTTTTTAGTTGTTGTTTTGGTTTGTGTTTTTTTTGTTGTTGTTTGTTTTTGTTTTGTTTTTCCCCCGTGGGATGTGTGATACAATTAATCTCACTCCAAGGGAGCACTCCCAACTGCTGAGCAGGGAGATAGAAACTGCAGCTCCAGGAAGTAAGCTCTGCTAACCCATTTCCCAGAGCAGAGGTGCTGGCAGGACATGACTCAAACCCAGCAACTAAGAATTAGCCAGTGTTAATTAATACAAATCTGAAAGGGGTCTTTGAATGTGTAGATTTGTCAATATGAGGCAGGGCCAGATTTCAGCTGCAAGTCACATACTGGGTTGAAAGCAAGCAAACAGCCTTGCTGAAATGTGAGCCTGTAGGAGGGAGCGGAGGAGGTGTTTGGTGTGCTGCTGAGCAACAGTTGCCTAAATTATTTGTATTTATTTTACTTGTTTATTTCTGTCATCTTTATTTTTATTCCCCTGGTTGAAATAATCCACAGTCTGGTAAAATACCCTGGGGCCCATTTAACAACTGTAATGCCATTTGTAAGATGGGTTGGCTCTTTTATTTTTTACTTTTTATTATTTTTAACAGTTTCTTATCATTCTTGGCTCTAGAAATAAGTCATGCTGAATTTAGGCTGAGTCAGGGAATTACTTAATTGCCTCTCTTCAACAAAATGGTGCTTAGGGAACCTTACATCCCTTACTGTTGCCGCTTTTCCAGAAGGATTGCTTTCATTGCTTATCTGTCTGCTCTGCATGGAAATGAGGGGAGATGATTTGCAAAGTCAAAGCTGTTATAAAAATAAGATTGGATTCGTCTGCATACCATTTCATTGGAAACTGTATATAAGCTACTGCAAATTTTAATGAGGGGGCTCTCTCCCTCTCATTTCTCGAAGGGAGGAGGGTTCTCATGGTCATGACTGATCTCAAATATTGTACGTCTGCCCTGGCCCTGTTTTTACCTCCAAGTAACTTTTGTGACACTGTCTAACTAGCCATGCCCATGAAAAACATACTTGGACAATTAAGGCATCTTATAATACAGAATGTAGCCTTTAATTAAGTGTTAATATTTGTCCCTTATTTTTTCCACTTATTTTCCACCTCTCTCCCTGTTCTATTTCTTGCTCTTGGAAAGCAGAGTCACTAGTGGATCTAACACAGATATTTGCGGGCTTCAGGATCAATGAGAAATCAAACTTGTGTGGATTTTTTTATTTGTAGCCTAACACATTTGAAGTATTAATGTTCGTAGTTACAGTTTTAGACTTGTTGCTCACTTTTGTAAGTTAAGATTTGCCACACCTTGCATATTGCAATACTTAGTGCATTTTGTGACTTGTACCAGCTCATCCTAGTTCACTAAAATCTGAGTAATGAACTCTCTTGAGTTTCTCTAAAGTTTACTTGTGGGAGTAAACACGCATCTTGAAGTGCAAGTGCGATAATACAGGTTCCTAATTAAGATTTATAAGTTAGTATTGATGCTTTCTGTTTGGAAAATCTATACTAATGGAGACATGTTGGTATGTGATGTATATATAAAATCAGATTTTAATTTCTGTGTCTGAATGGTATACAAGCTTTTAAGCCTGAAAATTTCAGTGTTTGTTAAATGAAGATGAGGGGAAGCCACCCCTCCAGTCACACCAACCCATCATTCTCCCTGCAAAGATACTGGTGCCCAGGGACTGGGGTCTCTGCCCGTGCTAATGAACACAGTTGTCACTTTCCGCTCTGCACCAGTAGTAAAGTTGAACATGTGTCCCAGACACGCATAGAGGACACTGACGTGGCCACAGTGCTGTTATCAACATCACCTGTCACATCCCACGGTGTGATTCTGCACAGGGTTATTGGAAAAGATTATTGCAGTGTTATCATATGACATTCCAGAATGCAATTCTACCTCCAGGTTTGTGAAGTCTGAATGGTTTGAATACCATTTTCCTTCACACCATTACATTATTATTCGTTGCTCTTTATCTATGAGTGGGCTGCCACATAGAAAAAGGGCTACTTACCATCAAAGGCAGGCTTGATGTAATGATGAGTCTTAAAGGAGAGATTTAATTTTCTCTGCCTCAGTGGCTTTTTAGTCTTTCTTGCACTATCATTATCTTATAGAAATTTCTTTCTAATTAAAGACAGTGGACTTTTTTTTTTTTTTTGTATTTCATGTAGCTTTTGCCTCGGGAAATGTGAGCTGAAGAAAGCTTTATCCTTTATTACAGGGAACTTCAAAATACAGAAAAATCAAATTGCTAGCTTAATTACTAGTACAACTTACATTTGAATAGTCATCTTATGCAGATACAAGACAAGATTATTTCCTCACAATGCCTCATCTCTGTGTAGCAATGCATAGTGTTTTGCATCTCAGTGTAGCATTTGGGAGCTTTTATTTTTCTCCTTTTTTCTTCTAAAATAGCTGAGCCTTTTCTTTGAAAATAGTTTCCATTTCAAGGAGTGTGGACAAGGGAAACGTCCATATGGAATGAGGAACCAAATCTGGGAGAGGAATTGCTGTGCAAGCTCACTTGTCTTAGAGTAATTCAAATTACTGCACAAAAGGCACGTTCACTTTTGGAGAGAGAAGGTGGATCACCAATTCTAAGAACATTTATTATAAATTAATGTTTCCAAACAGCAGGGGAGAAGTCAGAGGGTTGGGGAGAGGGGAGTGAGGTTTTGAAACAGAGCCAAAGCCTCCTGTGGGTACATCAGGGACTAGAATCACATTGTCCATTCTCTTGATCTTGCCATTTACTATGTGTTGGCTGATTAAAGTTTGTTTTACAGAACAAACCCATCCCAGCAACAGCACCAGCCAATGGAAAGGAAACTTTGCTGTGAAAATCGGAAGGAGCACATGGAACAGCAGGGTGCAGGGCAGGAACTGGAAAGGCAATTTTGCCTCTTCTGTGGTACTGTGGTTGTTGGCAACTGGAGATGCACCCAATCGCTGAGCAGTAAGGTAGGCACATCCTTTGAGATATATGGCACTGTTCAACAAGTTGCTTTGAAGAATTATGGAGCAAAGTTGATAGAATTTAGAAGCTCATATCTCACTGAGAACTGACAATACTGTCTTGTCCTGAATCTTTTAGAAAACTGACTCCTTGGTTTTATTAAAGTAGAGTTAATCTCTTTGCAGGGGATTGTTGTTAATTCTGTAGGCACATATCATCTACCTTTGGGGTGCTAAGGAGGAACTGTTCAGCATTCACTGAATCATGAGGCAATGTATAGCATTTCTCTGTGTATAATCAATGAATATACGGATGTTATAATTAAATATACGGATGTTATAATTAAAAAATATACAAGAAAATTAGGCTAAACAGGTTATCACGCTAAAGAAGAATGGATGGAAAGCTTACCAATGTCCTGGGCTCACTGAGAAGACTCCAAGAGGAGTGATCTCCAAAAGAGATCCTTCCCCAGTGGTAGTCAGCTCTTAATTGGGGTCTAGGAGAGGTGGAGCCAGGCTCCACCCCTTCTGGCCAACTCACTGCTCTCCTCAGGTGGTCAATCAGCGGTTCAGGCCGTGATTCAGCAGTTCCCATACACTCTGTGTACTTTCCTATCTGATGCTGGTTGCTAATAAATGATGTCATAACAAGTATGTTGTTGCATTATGAGCTCCCAGACCAGTCCGTTCAGCTCTGCTCTGTGAGATGCTGTCTGATTTGGGTGACAAATACCAGAGAGAGAACCAGCATGCTTCTTAAAGGATTTACGATCCTAGGAATTTGATGCCTTGGTATTTTGATGCTACTTTTAAAGCAAGTCAGATTTAGAACATATTCATTACTTCTAATCCATTTTCTCTTTTTTTTTTTTTTTTTTTCCCTACCAAAAAGAAGTGTGAAAGAATTGGAAAAGGTTCAGAGAAAAGCAGCAAATTGGCATAGGGTAGCTTTTGTCTGACAGATGATCACATGAGCACAGTTGTTCAGTCAGGAAACAACTGAGGGAGAAAAACAAATGTGGTCTCTAAAATTACAGGTGGCCCAGAAGGGGACCTACTGAACACAGTCTTTTCCAGAATGCTGCACAAAGCAAACAGGAAAAAGACATCAAATTGCTGGAAATATGGCTCCCAAGTATTAGCTGGCTAAGCTATGGAATTCTTTTGAAAGATGTCCTCAGTACTAAAAATTGATGTGGGCTCGAGATGTTGGAAATTCAGTTAGTTCTTGAAGAAGCAATTCACTGATGATTGCTTACTAATACATGGAAACCCACCTCTGAGTTAGGCATCAGTAAGTTATTTCCCTACTACTGTAAGGTAGAGTGCTGTTTTCTGCCTGCATAAGCAGTGTATTTTTTATTTGCTCTTTACACACGAGAGTGTACATTCAAGAGAAGGTGTGTAAAGGCATTATATGGTTTTAATATGTAGAGACATATTATCCACTGAAATCATACAGTTTTATTCTACAGATACAATATGATGTAAAAAGAATTATGTAGCTTTTTTAAACATAGACTTTATCCTGTTGCACCCATGAAAAGAGGGTGGTTGACTTGTGACCAGCAGGTATCGGCTACCTCCTGCTACCAGAGTTTTATAATCCCTGCTAACCATCTGTACTAGAAGAGAACATTATATCCTGGAATCTCTTTCTTTCTTTCTGTTCATTGCCAAATCTTCAAACCTGCAAATCTGCAGCTAGCAAAACTACCCCATTGCCATGTATCAACAGCAGATACTGCTAAGAAGATGTACCTTCTTTTACACTGCTGATGGCAAGCATGTGCAGTCTATGATATGGCCAAAGGCTTTCCAATATTGAAAGTGATATTTCAGTCTTTTTTATCCTTCTAAATTAGACAGAAAGTTCTATGTATTCAATCGTTCTATAAAAGGAAAGTTCCAAATAATCAGAATCACAAATGGTAAAAGAAAAATCAATATATCTTGTTTTCTCGTAGAATTTTTTTGTCATAGGTTTGAAAAATACATTACAGATCAATATTTTTTCACACTAAAAAGTGAGGCCTTCTCCTAGAATATGTGTAAATGTAACCATATTTCCAAAGGTAAAAAAATGTATCCATTTGGAAATGGATTTTTCCACTGAAACTGAGTCAACATTTGTTTTATAATTCTGTCTTTTTATTATTCATGACCTCAAAAGAGTGTGTATGACATTTAGCAGGTACATCTCCACTGATAAGCGTTTGCATTATTAGACTCTTTCACAGGTTTTTTGCACATTTTGATTGAGACCTTTGAAGCATCCCTATACACTGAAGCGATTTGGAAGTGTTTTCATCTCAGCACTAAGCATCTGTGGAAGTGCCCGTTAATTGGTTTGGGTTTTAGTTTGATGACCTTTCCGGATATTCCTCAGAAATGAAATGGGCAATGTCAGATCTTTAGTCATAATGAGTTTCTAGAGAGTGTTCTTCGCTTCCTACCTTTTCTTCGCTGTTATGCTCCTTCTCTCTTGATTTTTAAAGATATTTGCAGGCTGAACTTTTAAGTCAGACTACCTGTTTATCTTTCTCTATCCCCTGTTTTTTGTTTTATGTTGTTGTTGCTGTTGTTTATTTTCTGGCATGCTTTGTTCTATTTCAGGCTTAACTGCAGCTCTTTTTTAGTTTTTAGACAAATTTTTGTGAGCACTGAAGTATATTTTCTTCTAGTTTCTACTGTAAGAATTTCTCTACATTCTTTAACTGTCACTGAACAGCAGCTGTTTGTTTTACTTCATTTCAAAAATTCTTTTCTGAATATTGATTTTACATTGTCTTCAGGAATGACCATCCTACTGACATGCGGAGTCAAACTCTGTAACCCAAATAAGATTACAAAGCAGGTATGGTTTAATCAGTGCTGCGCAGACACCGAGTGCAAGGGGGATCATTCCTCCTAACTTGCACACCGTCTGGAAACATTGTGCTACAGATATAGGCCAAACTAACACATAATCAATAGTTTTCCCAGAATTAGGATACATATTCATTACACCCTTGAGAGTTCATTAGCATGCAGACCATTCCCTCTTGCGCGCGTGTAGTGGGTCATGGGATGAAGTTTTCCTCGCAAAGACTTCTGATCTTTCTCACTGTAAACTTCTGACCTTTCAGTGGGGCGTCCCCCCCAAACTGGCTTCTTCTTGCCCTGTGGACAACTACCACCTCCCTGCCAAATGTCCTCAGGCTGTTCTCAAACCCTTATCTTTATGGCCTTCATCTCCCTCACTATCCCAGACCCAGTGTCTGCCATCCCTTATTTTTCTAACAAGCTCTATGTTCTTGCTTTTATAAACTAATTATTCCCCTTCGTCCCCCTTATTCTCAGTCACTGTGAAGCCTTTTTGCCTTTTTACTTTCACTTATGGGGCTTTTCTCACCTTTCACTACAGGATGTTTTCCTTCCAGAATTAGATTCAGTTGTTTTCTTGAAAAAGCACAGTGTGAAAGTTTTGAGTAGCCTCTGCAGTAAAACTGAATAGAATTATGATAATTTGGACCGATTCAAAGTTGCTTGTGATACCAGTCATGTTTTGACCCCAGTCCAGTCAACAACTTTCAGTTTACACAGTCTAGTGCCAGTGCTGCAATCTTCTCTCTTCCTTGTATGCAAATAGAGACTTTATGCATCTTTGCTGCAGCCTGTGGTGTCATTTTTTTAACTCCAGCTTGGCCACACCTTTGTGGTCAGGTATTACGATTCTTATATGTTCCAGAAGCACCTGTGTGATACAGTAGCTCTGTTAGGTTCTGTGACCATCCCTCTGGTGTGAAGGTGGCTTACTTCTGCCCGTTGTCTCCACCCCACAAAGAAATAGTGCTCAGCATTTAATTAAGGGAGGTTATAATTATGGAGCACTTCGTTTTATGCACATTCATTTTTTTTTTTTTTAGAGTTGGTTTCATATAATGTCAAATATTTGTATTGAAAAGAATGAATTCAACAAATTCTGGGATGACTGAAGTCTCTGTATTCAGCTCTGAGTGATGAGTGAAGATTTATAGGAAATTTAGAATTCATTGTTATTCTGAAATGCCACGCAGAAATAATTTCCAGCTCTTCTAGAAGTAAGGCTAGGAAAGCAGAGGTCATGCAAATGAGTTGTGATTCCTGACATAATCGTAATAGTGATAAGACAAGAGGTAATGGCCTCAAGTTGCTCCAGGGGAGGTTCTGGTTGGATGTTAGAAAAAATTTCTTCTCAGAAAGAGTAGTAAGATATTGGCATAGTTGGTTTTGGCTTTGTTTTGTTTTTTTTTTCCCCAGCCTTTATGATTCTATGATCTAAGGAACCTTGTCATCTTGTATCAGAATCCAATACTGTCTGACAAGTTTCCCCCCAGAATTGGAGATGGGCTGTATGTGAGGGGGACCATGCCCAGGTGGACTTGGAGATTTACATGGAAAAAACATCTATGTGCTTGCAAAAATATACTGTAGTCTACAAACATGGCAAAATGTCAATGCCTTGGTATGTCTGTAAATCATAATTATAAACTCATGCTGTTTCCATGTCATATAAGGCTGGCCTAGAGGCACTTTGCACTTGACCGGATTGTGACAGCAGTGCTTTTAAAATGCTGTTAAACCAGGGGAACCTGACTGCTATTCAGATTTTGTGTTGTGATGATGCCTAAGCCTTTTTGACCAAGGAGAGAATCTGCTAAGCCAACAGTGAGAGTGTTGCTTTTCTAAATAATTTTTGGTGTAACCTGCATGGTAAAAGATGTGCCTCCATATTCTACAGAATATGGGGCAAGGTGCTTCAAGCAGAGACCCAGCAGATTCCTGAAACCACTGTCTTTCCTCAGCTGCAACACTTCTCTTGACATCAGCCCAATTTCTTGGATGAAGACATGTCTTTGCAGATAGCTTTGAGATAAAAGTTTCTGTAGTATTTATCATCTCTAATGAAGCTAAAAGTGTTATCTGGGTATTGATACACAGCCACTCATATAATGTAACACAAATGGAGCCAACAGAGTAATTCATTTTGTTAACCATGAAAATAATGTTCCTGATGAAGCTATCTGAAGGCTTAGCATGGTGTAAAAGTAAAACAAGACATATTAACGAGTGTCACTTGTCAGGAAAGATTCTAATAATGGAAACGGGAAAAAAAAAGGCAATAACTACATCTGTAAAAAGAAACATTTCTTAAAATTGATCTGCTGGGCAACACTAAATTTCAAAAATTCAATAATTGCAAAGTTCACAGATCAATACTAAATGAAACATAGTAATATTCTCATTTGAATTATTGACGTATGAGAAATTTCAAGTCTAAATTGGCTTTTGATTAAAGGAAAATCAGGGAAATATCCCACACAACTCCCCAAGACTGCAGCTGAAGCTGAAAATAGACATCTGTGTAGTTGGAATTAGGTTTGCAGTAGGTTATCATTCTTGTTAAATGTTTCTTTGGTACAAGAGAAGAGTGCTTTTTCCTGAGTTAAATTTCTGTTGGCTTTGAAAATATTAATTCTTTTCACTTTCAAGAACAAAAGCTGTCAGATTATGGATTGAGGAAGAGACCTACAAATGCAACTGATTCCAGACTTCCCCATTGTAGAAGAAATATGAACAAATAAGAGCTCAACAGCTGATTCCAAACCCTCAATATGAAATGTTATGATTTGTGAACATAGAAAGATGGACTGAAGGGTCCTTTCAGTTCTTTAAAATCTGTGTATCCCTAATTTAATTCCCACAGTCTAGTAGTTATGGAGTCTCCATAGAACAATGCATACTAGCTATACTAACATGGGCACTAGCTGTGATATTTAATGCACTGTCCCTTGCCCCCTCCTGACTTCACCCAACCCATTGTGTGAGGATTGTTGTTAATGGTGTAATATCTTACATCTGAAGTTTTTTTGCTGTCCATCTTCTCTGCTAATGACTTCAGCAAAGAAATGACTTCAAAGCTGGGAAGGACCTTCTTTGAAATCTTGGAAAGCAAAGCCATGCAGCCCAGCAGGTTTCTGTCTCTTCAAAGTGATTACTAAGGTGTCTAGCAGAGGACATGGAGAAGTGCAATCTACAGCTTTAGCTGTAGCTGTGAAATTTGAAATTTAAAAACAGACAGTAATCTTCCAGTCAAAACTATTATAAAATAGGAAAACTTTCCACAAGGAAAGAGAAAGTAAAAGGCAATGGTTATATCATTGTTTCTGTAATGACATCTTATGAAAGAATGTATTTCTTCCCATTGCAAGCATAAAGGAATCTGTTCTGGGATTACCATCTTTGATTACTAGCCTTGGGCATAAACTGAAGCCTGGATTTCTTTTTCAGGTGGACTTTGCTTCTTCAGCAAGTGTTTCTGACATGTCTGAGTCACGCTGCCAGTGGATCATGTTCTCAAATACTATATAGTCTAGATCTACACAATGCAGATGTGTTGTGGTTCCTCTGGTTTAGGAGGCAGGTTACCTACTGGATTTACTGTCTGCTTGAGGTGCCTGATTCACTCCACAAATCATGGGGAGATTCCCATGAAAGGCAAGATAGAGAAGATGGAAGATGTGGTACATGTGGTAGCTGATTGAAACCGTTAAGACGATGGACTATACAAAACATCATTCATCCCTATCTGTGGTTTCTTGAAACCTTTTGACAGACCTCTATTTCTTTCTATGCAAACTTGGTTTCAGTGGAGGTGAGTGCCTGTTCCTTTTCTTATTAAAAATGAAGTTGGGAGAAAGCAGCAGATGTCTTGACTTTGCCCAAAGACCAGTGGGAAGACATGCACAATCTCTTCAGGTGTCTTAAAATTGAGGCCAAGCCTGTTCCACTTCTGTGGGGTTTTTTTGTTGTGATTTGCTAACTGTTCTGGTTCATCCTCCTCCTTCCTCACATGAACTTTAACTCTTCTACTTTATACTTGAAAGTCTGGATAGCTAGGTCTCGTCCATTTTCAGCAGCATCTACCAGCTCTCATTCTGTTTGTCTTTGCGATTTTATAATCTGGTTTCTTCACCTCATACTGGATTTTAGATCCTTAAAGTGGTGGCTAATCAGTGGGTTAATTAATTCTGCATGGTAAGATGGCAAGAATATTTTTTTCCACTAAATTTTTATGCAAGAAAGAAAATACACAGGTCTAAAGAAAGGCTAAGATAAAGAATATTTCTGTCCTAACACTTTAGTCACGTTCTACCCATGACTGTGGTGACCTGAATCAGTGATACAGATTTCCCTCTCTCTGATGCCCTCTGGCATCTGGGTTTCTATCTTAGAAGTGTAAATAGGTTTAGAAATGGCACTTATGGACAATACAGTATGGTTTTCCTTTCAATTCAGGTGAGTAGCATGAGAAGAGAACTGGGGCTAGTAGTTTCCTTCTTATAGTCACAGTCTTGATGGAAAAATTGTAAAAACAAACACCTGTAATTCCTGAACTATCAGCTAAAGAATCAAAAATCAATAGATTTGGCATTGGCAACTCAGCAAATGTATGAACTAATCCTTAATACTTGTGAGAAGGAATCTCATGAGCTATGACAAACAGGAATAACATCATATCCGCACTGGTAATTGGCTGACAGATTCATTGTCCTCATTGCAAATGTTTATAGATGTTAAATCCAAGAGTTGTTAACTGTCAGAGTTAACAACAGGAGGAGCGACTATGTCAAATAACCATCAAACTGACCAGTGTAATCCATTTTCCTTCTTGCAGAAAGATTGCAAGCTATAATGTAATGTACCTCCTGTTTAGTAGGCACTTCATGGACTATTGATTTTAGTTCTAAAAAGAGTTTGCATGCTGTTTCCATTTGTCACCTTTGGATATCACCAGTACCAAAAAGGTAAATTGCTCCAACCATTTAGATCCATTATACTATTGAAAGAGCAAAGATGGTTTCTATAAAATAAATTCTTTAGCCTTGCTAGTGCTTTTTCTTCCCACAGTGAAGGACCTTCCTTTTATCATGGAAGACATTGTTAAAGCATCATCAGTTCTCATTTTCAAAGACTAGCTGTCTACATGGCATGGAACGAAGGAATATGTTAAAACTATGAGCAACTGCAAATAAAACTACCACACAGTCTCTAATTGAGTGAAAGGCCAGTACCTGCTATGGCAAATATGGACACATCTGTGGCATAAAAGATCTGATTTTTATTTGATTCTTCCAGGTCAAAATACCATTTCATATGAGATTTCATTTTTCATTCTGTCTGGATACAATGCGAGAGGGCCAGAGAAAGAACAGCAGCCTACAATCAATTCTTTCTTCTTAGAGCATTTCAAAGGCAGAATTCGATGAGCTGTACCTAGTGGGAGTATTGTAACAAACTGTGTGCACAACCACTGCACTTGAGCATTGGGTAAATGGTTTCCTGATTTATGGTTTCACTTTTCTTCTTAGTCATACATTATCAGTCTGAAAGAAGGTACGACAAAAGATGTTTGATTGCTCTCCAATTAATTAATGTGCATCCTTCAGTAAACGTTTAGTTAATCTGCCTGCTTGGAAGGCAGAAGGAGGGAGATGATAGAATATTTCTGTTAATGCTTGCTGGTCTGTGCCTGCTATCCTGCAAAGAATAAGATCTTGTGGTAAAACATTTTTGAGCTACTGAATTCATATCTAACGGATAGATTACGACAGCACTTCTCTGTTTGAATAAACAGCTAGAACACTTCAATTTTTTTTTTTTTTTTTCCCCATGGGCAGACCAATTTTCAGCATATCCCATTTCTTTAATCAGTTCACTAGACTATATCAAAGGACATAACCAGGCAGGTCAGGAGATAGCTTGAAACTTAACTATGCTCTTCTTTATTTAATTCACTTCTACCACCTCCCCCAAGTTTCAGACTCTTCTTTCCTGCAGCTTACATGAATGCAAAAAAGCAGGAGAAAACACAGGACAAGACTGTTCTTCAGCCTATGTGAGGTATTGCTCCACTTCTCTTTTCTTCTAGTGCTTTGTTCTGTTATTTCTGATGTAACAGGTTTTGAAGCCTTGGATATTCATATCCTTATCACAGCAAAAGACAAGATCACAGCAAAAGATAAGTATGCTTGGGTCAAAGCACAAAGGTGCAAGGCAAAGCTGTAAGCAAACTAAAGGAGCAACTTAAGTGCTTGTAAATTACCTGCAGTGTGCTGTGCTTCATTAATTTTTGCTCTTTACATGCCTCTTCTCATGTCTGGCTTTGAAGCACTGGTGGAAAGTCACAGTGCTGTAATGAATAGGACACAGTGCTCTACTTCATGCACTGCGTGTGTGTCTTTCACAGGAGGGAGAATTTTGCAATCCCATCACTGCGATCACTGCAATGAAGAAGCGTTACTGTTTGGAATCTTGTGAAACGAGTAACAACACTGACAAGAAAGAAAAAAAAGAAACTGATTTTTTTTTTTTCTAGTACTTAAAACTTTTGGCAGAGGAAAATCTCATTTTCTTTTGGTTTCTAAAACAACGCTGATGTTCTTCTGTCTTTTCCCTCTATTCAGGTAAGATTGCTGGTGATGTATTGGTGAGGACCACTGACTTCTGGGATTTTGCCTGGAAGTCTGAAGTTCATATAGCTCCCTATTTTATGTGCATTTGTATTAGCCACTGCTGAAGTACTTATAATAGTAAATCCTATGTTATTGGCAATTAATTCAGTCTTCAACGATTAATTTAGAGTCTTCAGTACATTGACATTCTGCCTAGGGAAGGTTGTTTTTCCTAAGTAAACCAAAAAGTGAAGTCTCAGCATTCCACAAGCTGTGCACCCTGCTGGAGCTGTTAAAATAGGCACCACAACAAAGTTGTTGTGAAAACTAGAAGCTTAGTGAGCACCTGACTTTTTTGTAAACAGTTTCTTCATCAAACAGGGGAGCTGACCTACTTTGCATGTGACCTTTTGGCAGGATAGCACCTTCCAGTGGAACCACACCAGCCACCGAAGAACCTTAGCAAGAACCTCATATTAACACAGTGCATATATAGCATGAAATTCTAGTATGAATAGCAATTCTGAGAATAGGCAGGCACTAAAACATCATTGTTTCATCAGTTCTTTTTTAGGCCTGAATGTGGCATAAATATGTCTGCTTCTGGATAGAGATATAGTAAAGAAGTTATGAACAAATTACACCTGTAGACAGAAAAATTCAAGTACATATCCCTAAAGACAAAGCCATAGAGGCCCAGGTCTCTGTGTTACAGGAATCACCTTCTGAATCTGAAATAGCTGAGGAAGTAGAAGACATGGTAATGCTATTGTTATGAGCTAGAGGAACCTCAGGATGATCAAGGTGGACCAAATGAGTGATTGTACAACTGTAGCTGAACTCCAAACTGGTCAAGAAAAAACATTCAAACTGTTTGTGCATGAAAGGCTGCATAGTGCCCTGGGAGTTCTGGCACAGAGACAGATTATTGAGAGCACTGGAACTACTAAAAAGAAAAAAAGGCAACATATGGAATGATTCAAAATTTACATTTGAAGTAGTGCATGCCCATAGAGTACTACAGAAGGAAAGAGGAGTGCTATCCTACCAGGGATCACAAATGAAGTATGGACCCGTTATTATAGAATTACTGGAAAGTGTACTGCCTCCTCAGAAAGTTGCCATAATGCATTGTAAAGCACATCAGTTCAATAACACTCCAGTGAATTACAGCAATTGACTTGCCAATAGAGCTGCAGAAGTAGCCATGGAAGGAACTCTTATTATTAATCGCGGACAAATATAAATAATTAGGAAAAGAAACCCCAGATTACCAAGCTAAAGATGAGAGACTGGCAACACTATGAAAAGTGGTTAAAGATGGCAAAGTGTGGTAGATAACTCCAGATAAATAGACAATTATCCCTCAATCTCTTATGAATAAACTGGCAGAAGATTATCATTGACGTACTGGGGAATAGAGGCAACCACCAGAAGTATGAGACACCAAGTTTAAGTGTGTGAATGGCAGGAATCATAGTGTTGTGAAAAAATGCGATCTGCATTTGAAAAACAATCCCCATCCACCTAAACAGCCTCCACTCAGAACAGCTAAGAAAGGAAAGCATCCAGGAGATTATCAGCAGATGGATTTTTGTGGATTGCTGCGGTGATGTGAGTATGGGTAACATACTGGTACTAGTAGATACTTTTTCTTGGGATGGCCAGACGCTTTTCCCTGTTACACCTACAGAGCTCCTGAAGTAGTAAAGGTTTTATTAAAAGAAATTACACCCAGATTTGGGGTACCTGCAAGGATATCTTTAGATACAGATCCACATTTCATCACAGAAATAGTGCAAAACCTAGCTAGAATTATGCTAAAATGTAATCACCATGCTCTGAGGAGATCTCAGTCTAGCGATAACACAGAAAGAATGAATCAGAGTTTAAAAAGCCAAATAGGCAAAATATGCCAAGAATCAAAATTAAAATGGCCAAGTGCCTTACTTGCCTTACTAAGAATCAGGATGAGGTCCACTTCTAAAGAAAAGATCAGTCTGGTCTAGTACCATATCTGGTGGTTGGTGGTCCTGCCTGTGTCAGGGGGTTGAAACTTGATGGCCCTTGGGGTCCCTTCCAACTCCAGCCATTCTATGGTTGGTCTTCGTAAGATTTCATATGGGAATCTATAGGAGAGGGAGGTGATATTCGCCACCTTGAGGAACAAAAGGCTAAAGAATATGTGATATCTTTGAGAAGTGTTTTGTCTTTTCTCTGCAGGTATGTTGTACGTGCACGCTTACCGCTGGATGGACCTGTACACTGGTACCAACCTGGAGATTGGGTGTACCCGACAACATAGCTAGATGAAGAGAAGTGGAGAGGACCCTTCCAGATCTAATTCACCACCCACGCAGCAGTCAGACTCAATGGAGTCAGCCTATGTATTCATTACAGTAGAGTCAAGGCACCTGCAACATCAGGATAGACTGTCAAGAAAGAAGGACCATTGCATTTGCAATTAACTCAGGCTGTGTAAGACTAGGTTCTATGTTTCTTATAATGATAAGTAATGCATTTATTTAAAGTGAGGGAATTAATATGAAAGTGAAAATCTGGTTTTAACATTAATACAAGGGTTTGGTGGGATGTGCAATGTCACTAGCATCTGCATAGTGGTAATTATAAGAGGTAGAGGACTCTGTAGAAGATGTATTAAAAGGTATTTTGAAAGAAATATGTGAAAGTAATTAGAAGAACTAACTACTTCCCAAGGGGTCAATTGCTACCTGGCAATTAATTAACCACAGGCCCCTTACAAGGACCCCATACTAACACAGAGCATGCATAATATTAGATTTTAATATAGCAATTCTTGAAATAGGCAGGCACTCCATGGAAAATGTATGAATATTCGCACATGTTCAATATATATAATCTGCATGCTTTTAGTTCCTGGCTATGCACGTTAGGTGGATCCCGTGCATCTGGTCACAATAACAAATGCCTGCTTTTTAATGCTACATTAGCATTAATGAGTTTTATTCCTGATTTCAGTGACAGAACTGGTGTTATTAATTGCCTTCCCCTTCCCCCTCCCTCCCCTCTCCCCCCCCCCCCCCCCCCCCCCAACAAGTATGAGGGCAAGACATTACGTGGATATATAAGGCATCTTTAGATATGCAGTGAGACAACTCAGACACTAGGCAAAACTATCATCTCTGGATACTGTCTGTGTCTCCCATTTTATTTAAGTATCTTTCAGCTGCTGCCATGAACGCTGGATCTCTGTTTTCAGCTGGCAGGAGCTGACACAGCAGAAACAGCTATCAAATATGATAGAGTTTTTCCCTTCTAATGCTCCTTCTTGCACCATTTTTAGAACAGTTTAGAGTACCAATAGAAGAAATGAAGACAAACAGACATCAAAGATACTGCACAAGGTCAGTCAGCACCGAGAAGAGCCATCCATCCTTCTATATCTGATGCAAAGTGCCACATCTTAGCTCTGTGTTCTTTTTCAAAAACTACTGGAATTTGAAGAGGTTTTAAAACACCAGTACATTATTTGAATAATTGTGCTTATATCCAGGGTAGGGTTCAAGGCATGTATGCCACCCAAAACAACTGGTCTGTCCCAGAGAAAGAGAAATAGTACACTTCTGAAACAGGGAAAAAAAGTTTGACTTCCACTAACTTCAGTCTTCTTTTGCAAGTGGAACTTCCCACTGAGAATCTAAACATGCATCAGATGTCTAGAAACAGTAAATCATTTAAGGTTTTAACCGGGAAAATAGTTCAGCAACCCTTAGGAACTATTACATTTTCACATTATTACCATTAAAAAATCCACATCTTCTCAGTGTTTGTATAAGCAAAGTGGTTTGCCTCAGGTGAATGCAGTTCCACTGAAGAATGTAGTACCCACTCTGTGCTGGTGCTCTCTGTTCCAAGGCGTGCAACTCTGCCAATACTGCAGAAATTTGAGAATGCTTTTCTCTGAGGCAGTAGTGTTTAAAATTTCACCCCATCCATTAGACTGCTCCAGAATTAGCCTTGTAAGTACATCCGAGTTCTATGGCATAGTGTTGCAGTAAAAGCCAGTCTCTGAGATGAGGGACTCTGACAGTTTATTTATAGTTCAGAAGGTCAAACAGTTGCCTTAATTGGAAAACATCGCTCACCAGTCTCTGAGCATATTGATGTACTTTGCATTCGATGCCATTAGTTACTTGTGTGAGTTTCTAATATCACCTTTGTTAATAAGATACATTCTCCATAATGGGCTGCCTGCAGGTTCCAAGAGCCATTTATATGCTAAGTTTGACAAGTTTGATGATGCTAAACCCATGCTGAAAGCAATAGCTGTCAGAACTGTACCTGGGTGCCAGGCAGAAGTCTGTGACCTTCAAACTGTTTTGGGATGGGATGTGCTAAATCCCAGTTGTATGGTATGTGACCAGGCAAAGGTATTTCTTCAAATTTGTCTTGAATTCCTGCCAGAAAAGTTGTATATAAACCACACAGCAAAAGTTTGATGGACTTGGCTTGTAGTAGAAGGAAGGTGAAATAAAGTCACAGAATCACAGAATTGCAGGGGTTGGAAGGGACCTCAAGAGATCATTGAATGCAGCCCCCTGCCAAAGCAGGTGCCCTGCAACAGGTCACACAGGTTGGTGTCCTTACAAGTCTTGAATATCTCCAGAGAAGGAGAAGTCAAAGTGCTCCCAACAAGCGCAAATTAAAGCATACAATAGCAAACACACTGAGTGATTTGACCTAAGGATCTCTCATCCATACAGCTGCAGACTAGAAAAAAAGAAATCCCCTCCTCAAAGCAAAGGAAACTATCTTATTAAGTCTAAAAATTCCCTCTTGGTTTTACTTCTGCTGTTCCCAACCTCTCCCTTGCCTGCGGTTGTTGCTGAAAATGACCTTGTCAAATTTTACATGTAGCATGGCCCAGTAGACACATGATCTTAACCATAGGAAGAAGGCAGAATGTTAATATTCGTTGTTTGAATTTATGTAGGAAAGGAGCAAGAAATAGGATTAAGATGGAGGTGGCTAATGCTAGGACTCCTCCAAGTTTGTCTGGAATTGAGCTCAGGATGACATACACAAATAGGAATCACCCCTCTGGTTTGATGTGAGGGGGTGGGATTAGTGAGGTTGCTGAAGTTTTATGGGTCCCTTAAGAGTTCAGGGGAGAATAAGGCTAATATTAGGAAGGGATTTATAAAGGCATGGGTTGAGACGTGAAGGAAAGCTAGCTGTGAGAGATCAAGTCCAATGATGGCTATTATTAAGCTTAGCTGGCGGAAGGTGGAGAAAGGAATGATTTTTTTTTTATGTTGTTTTGAGTGAGGGCACCTGGTGGCAGAGGGCTGAGAGTGCACCTAAACACGGGCATATGGCTAGGGCTGTTTTGTTAGTGGTTGGAAGGGGATGAGTATGAATAAGCAAGAAGATTCTGGTTACTACTATTGCAGTAGAGTGGAAACTAGGATTTACACTTCTGTTGCTGCAAGGAGTCAAGGGTCAGCCAAATTGGGCTGACCTTCCTGTAGCAGCTAGAATTAAGCCCAGGAGGGGGAGAGTACGTGTTTGGTGGGGTAGATTGTTTGTTGAGTTTCTCAAGCATTTAGTGTGGAGACTAGTGATGCCATACTCAAGATTAAACCAATATCTCACATGAATCTAACTCCTCCCTACCATTTTGCCTATCCAAAACAAATTATGAATGAATACATGGCCATATCCTCATCCTTACATGAGGCCTACAACCCCTTCAAGATTCAAAGCCACATGGTGACTACTAGCCATTTGACAAACATGGCACTGCCCTCTACAACAAACCTAGAAGAGGAACTAACCATTGTAATTGTGCTGTTTCACTGATTTGCCTTCACAATTGTTCTAACTGGAATTTCAGCCCTGCTGAGTGCCTCTTATGCTTTATATATATTACTAGTAACCCAATGAAGCACCCTACCAGCCCACATCACATCCATCCAAAACTCTACCATTTATCATAAGCTTCATAAATCCTCCTAACCTTAAAAATAGACCTACACTCAATACTATTTTTTCCAATTGCGTAATTTGTAACTTGATCTATCCTGGAATTTGTAACATGATGCATAGCCTCAGAACCAAGTATCAAATTCTTCACCTGTCTTCCTTACTTCCTAATTGCCATACTAATGCTAACCATTGCAAACAGCATATACCTTCTTTTGTAAGCTGAGAGAAATTATGTCATTCCTATTTATTGGCTAATGACAACAACAAGCCAAAGCTAACACAGCAGCATTACAAGTTGTAATCTACTACCAGATTGGAGATATATAAGGCAATGTAGTGTAACACAAAATAAAGATAAGCATGTGATTTTTTAACATTTGAATTCAGTACTGTGCAGTACGAAAGTATAAAGGATCTAAGCAGAGTAAATCAATTTAAGAAGCTAAGTGGTTTTAGTTAGTTTAAAATGGCAGGCTGCAGTATTTATTTGATAAAAAGTTATTTGAAGTATCTGACAGAAAGTCATAGAAATAAAAAAGCTAGGCATAACTGTTTTTAAAACAGCATAACTATATAAAATGGGAAGAAGGGAGACTGAGATTGTACTGTTAACGTTTTCATGAAAAAACAAAATGCCAAAATTAAACAAGCAAACTCTAGTGGAGGAAATAGAAACCCTATTTTCTGAAGACTGTGCAGTGAGACATAATGGTTGTATAACTTCTGAAAGTTTATAATTTAGTGATGCAGGCTCAGAATAAGAGAATTCAATAGCAAAATGAGTCAACACTTAAACCTAAATTGTAATTTATAAGAGACTCTCTTCTCACACAAATCAAATTTGGAAGCAGAATAATGTCTTCTGATAGCGAGGCAGTATTGCTGAATGTGCTGGGTGGCAGTTTGCAATACACAGTCATTTGAAATTACATTTATAAAATAAATGTTCAATTCAGAACAATTTTTTGCCTATTTACTGACACATAATACAAAATTGTTGCTATACTATATATTTCTTCATATAAGGCATTGCAACATGCAGACAGTAATGAAAAATGGAGGCAACAGAAAGTTCTTGCAAATGAAAGCAAGAATGTAACTGTTCCTTCCTGCTTCCCACTAGGGAATGGTGGCTTCCAAAACACTGGAAAACAAGGCAGTTGGTGAGACTCAGAATTGACTCCATGTGTTTAAAAAAAAAAACACCACCACAAACCAAAGCCAAGAGTAGTCACTCCCTGGCATGTGCACTGTGCCCAATGCTTCTGGGAGGACAGTCACATGGGCCTATTCATCACTGTCTCTCTCCTTCATTCTGCATCTGCTGGGACAGATACCACAAAGATGCTGCTATGTACTGAAGCTCTGCTCTTCCAGTGGATCTCAGCAGAACACATGCTGAAATTTCTCATAACTAATATACTCTCCTCACTGCTCAGAAGCCCTGCTCACAGAATCACGTAACAGTTTGGACTGAAAGGGACCATAAAGCCCACTCAGGCCCAACACCTTGCCATGGCGTGGCTGCCCCCACCAGCTCAAGCTACCCAGGGCTCCATCCAACCTGCCCTTGAGCACCTCCAGGGATAGGGTGGGGCATCTCACATACACAGCTTCTCTGGACAGCAGTGCTAAGGCCTTACTGCCCTCTGAGTAAGGAATTGCCTCCTAACATCTAACCTGAATCACCAGTTATTCAGTTCAAAACTATCACTCCTCGTCCTATCATTATTGCTGCAGACTGCTGAGTGTGCACTCAGCCCCACTATCCATGTCAACAAGAGATGTTCAGTAGTGCTAGTCCCAACACAGACTCCTGTTACGTTCCTCCACCTAGACATCAAACCACTGACTGCAGATCTTTGAGCACGACCATCCAGCTGATTTGGTCTGTAAGTTCATGATCCATACCGAGACATTCAGATTTAGATTAAGTGTTGCAATGCAAATCTAGGACATTAGTTAAACTGAATTTGTGTATGAAATTAAATAGTAC